AAAACTAAACAGCCTACAGTATTGTTACAGTCTTTATTTTACAGTTAAAATATATGTTTATTAAATAAAGTCTAATGTTACAACTAATCAGGGATCCCTTTAAATTCTGGCTTATTTTCCAACTAAAACACGGCCTCCTTACCTCCTCATGTTCCTCGGGGACTTGAGGCTCTTTTTTGTCGTTCGTCGTAGAGGCTACAGTAATGTTGGCCCCCGGGGGGACGTCGCTGGCAACTGTATCTGCTCTGATCTTGTCGGAAGGCAAGGTTTTATTTTTCTCCTTGCCCGCCGCCTCGCCCTTCTGCRGCTTGGCTCGAGGCGTCATCTCTTTCTTTGATCTTTTCGCTGCCTCTTCTTCCTTCAGCCGCTCCTGCTCCAACGTCCAGGCCTGTAATGACGTTAATGCCGAAAAAACCCAGAAATGATTAAGAAGAGAACAGATTTAAACCCTGACYCATTTCAAGAGGATAATTTGTTTTTAGGAGACTGAAAGATTAAACTTTGATCTCATGTTTCTAAATTCAGGACATCTTTAAATATTAAATATTTAAAATAAAAGTTTAAATGATTTTAACAAAATAGACTACTCAAGAAAATTTAAGACAGGAGATGCTGAGCTTCTACATGATAAACCTAAATCAAACAACCTACTCATCTAGAAATTATTGAACACAAAAACGGCTAAAACTCAGTCAGTTTTACAACTGCTGAGCTAAAATTCAGCGTGGTAGTAGCTGAGAGTCACACTCCAAGCATTAATGGATCAGTCAAACTCCTGGGTTAAAACTTTGGCGTGAAAAGCAGCGAGGGATACGCGTTTGTTCTCATGTAACTCAGGCTTACAACTTAAAAACAGCTAATAAAAGGCAACATAATAAAACTTGCTATATAAAAATGACAGGAGGCATTCGATGTTACCTTGTAAGGCTCCCTTTTAAAAAAAAAATACTACCTTGTATCAACTGGAAAATGATCGCCAACGCCCTGCGGCGTTAGAGAGAGTTCAGTTTAGGTTTAAGGTAAGGGTTAGGCTTTAGAAATAAATGAAAAATGAATGGAAGTCAGTGGAAAGTCCCTGTGAATAAAGAAAGACACCATATGTGTGTGTTCAGTGTAATGCGCTGGATAATACTGACTTTGAGAGAACCTTTTCTGATGAAAGCTTCTAGAGTTTCCTCCTCCACTTCAGAGGGTGCAGCATCTTCCTCTAAACAAAKAACTGTTTTTATGTTGTGGTAAAAATAATTCCATTCTGTGTTTGGAAATCAGCATTTGAAAAATGTAAACATTTCCAGAGATTGTTCATGTGTTAAACTGGGCCTAATGACTGTTAAGATATAATTAATAGTAATGATATTATATGGTTCAAGTCCATGACTATAATATCGTACCCTGTGGAGACATCGCTGCCTTTCTTTTCAGTTCCTCCTCTTTAGTCCAGTCTGAGATGGAATCAGCCACGTGCTCCAGATAGTTTCTACAAATAAAAGTGGAGAAAATGTTCTTTGTGCAGATTTGAACAAAGTAATTTAATGTTAATCACTGCTGTGCGGGAGGATTCTGTGAGTAGATTAGTTTTAAATCAATCTCTCAAAGGTGAGACTTCTGACCTGAACCTGACATCAGTGTGAAGAACCACGTTCCAGAACTCTTTGGACCGGCGATCAGAACTCATGGGGTGGTGACAAAAAACATACAAGATGTTTTTATAACTTCCTCTAAAGGTGTCCAAACATGGATACTCCTCTGAGGCTGCCTCGAGGACCTGAGCAGAGTCAAAGACCATCCAGGTAAAAACCTTTTGCTTTTATACAAGCTGACTTAAACGAGACACATCGTGCTTTTAAATCCTTCAGTTGTGGTCTTCATAAAGTAGAACTGTAATGCTTTGGTCTGGTTTTCTCCTTATTGTAACTCCACAAACCCCTCTTTCACCCCTTTTCTGAGGTGTGTCCCGGATCAACTCATTTTGAGGCTGTCTCTTTAAATCCAAACGATGTGCTTCATGCCCCGCCCCCTTCCAGCTTCCAGAGTGGTCCATTCCAGTTTGATAGAGGGGTCTACCTCATGTGTTTTGGGAGATATTGAGCCTAATTTGTGTGACACGTGTCTCACTTGCGAAATTGCATTTTTTTTTTCTTAAAGTTTGTAATGATGTGTTTGAATGTTTGTTTCCAGGTTAACATTTGGACGTTAAAGTCGTGTTTTTGGGTGATTGTGTGTTTTTTATGTAGTTATATCTTGTCTGACTTTTATTTTGGGCAATAAAGCTACTATCAGCAATGCAATTTGTTGTTTTTATTTGAGTCCATTCAGAGGAAAATAACAGCATACAGTATGTTTACTCACACTGTTAGGCAAAAAGTGTCCAGCAACTGTAAGTTCATTTATAAAAAATATAATTTAGGAGATGTTTTGCTACATCTATAAGCTGTAACAGAGTATGAGTATTATTTACTACCATTATTAGTACACTTACAATTAAAACTGAGTTACCTACAGCTTTAACACTACTGTTAGTTTTGTTTTTTCTACATTAATTTCAAAATCGTCTGACTCACACTCAACCTTGGAATAAAATAGTCAAGTCTCTGCAAAATAATTTCATAAGAAACTCATTTAATTGTTGATTTTTTTATATCTAGTCTTAATGGTTAGCTGTAGCTGAATGAGCAACATTAAACAGTAGCTGTTAACTGAAACATCCACTTTTAAAAGAAATCAAAATGACAAACTCATCTACACCCTAGAAGAAACAATCGGAAGAGAACCAAGTGGAGTCGCACTCGCACTTATAAATACTTACTAATCTGTGATGTAATAATACAGAAAACTGAGTAAACTTATCTCAGCCGGTTAGGATGTTATCATCCATTAAATGGACGTTATTAGCGGTTATCAGTCCCATAGTATGGCTTCAGACTGTCCCGACAGTGCTCCCTAGTGGGTTACCAGTGCCATATACGTTGGAATGCAACGATCTGCTACCGCCGGAGTCCGGTCTACTTTATCGTAGCCCATGACATTTTCTCTAAAATTAACCATAGTGGCTTTATGCTAACAGTCTGAAGCCATTCTATGGGACTGATAATGGCTAATAACGTCCATTTAATGGATGATAACATCTGAAGCCGGTGCTTTTCTTCAGTCCTAGAGATTCAAAGTTCACAACAAAATGAATTTAACAGCTAAAAAAGTGGATTTTGCATGATAAATCCCTTTTAAAACTATTATTTACTAAACCTCATATATTGCAAAAACATTTATACATTTTAGCTAAATATCTAAAAACAAGAAAAAAAGAGTGAAAGTAAAATCACCTGTGGAAGAACAGCAGGACTGTGATGTTCAGCATAGTTCCAGTGAAACAAAGACCTCCGTCTGCAGCTCTGCAGCTCAGATAGATCCAGCTGACTGCACACGTCCTGACTGAGCTGCTGGAAAACAAAGAAACAAACAAGAAATGTTTGCTTTACATAAAACAAACACGAGTACGAGCCATTATAGCAAAATTAACACAGTACCTCAGTGTTATCAGGGCTTTCGGTGAGAAAAGTTGGACCTGCAGTTGAGATGCAGAGAAGTTTGGAGCAGAACAATGAGAGGCGCTGGGAATGAATTCAACCAGGGCTCTCACCGTCAGTCTGCAGCTTGTGAAGCTGCTGTTTAGCGAAGGATAAAGGATCGTCCCAGGGGACAGCTGCTGCTTCTAGTGCTCCCTGACCGTGAGCATCGTTCACAAACACACCCTGCTGATCCACAGAGCTCAGCGGCATGGCCTCCAGCACGCTCTGATCCAACAGCTGCTCCACGTCCGACCACGAGTCATTATCTGCAAAACATCATGACAATGAATGCAACCTGAACACATGAACACGTGGTGTTTATTAYGACCCCCACACGCGAAGCATAACAGGGAGTCATATTGTTTTTGTGCTGGTTTTTTTTCAGTGATTTTTGCTCAACCRTAGCACAAAAACGGCTGCACCAATCAACATGAAATTTGGCAGGACTGTAGAAGAGTCTGACCTACACTGCGCCAGCCAACAGTTATACAATAGACCCCATATTTGAAGAGGGGGCTCTTTTCAAAGAGGGGGTGTCAGGACATGCGAAAATACTTATAACTCAGAAACTGTTCAACATAGAAGCTTCAGATTTATTTTGTTGTTTAGCTCTGATAAAGCTCTATCCATCAGGCCCACCAATCAGTTTTCAATCAATTTTGGGATGCACCTATTAAACATGACATTTATTAGGCATAAAGACTTCTGAGTTCCGGTGCATTTCTGCGTGCGGGGGTCACTATGTTACCGCTATGCGGTATCTAGTTTTTTTCTGACCTTGTGTGCAGAAGTGCTGCAGCTGCTGTTTGACAGCCATCCAGCAGGTGGAGCCGTTCCTCTGCTCAACTACCGACTCAATCRGCTCCCAAACCGGAGAAAACCTCATCACGGACAACTCCAACTCTGCTGGGTCGAAACCATGAACCACCTGGGAAAATAAAAACCTCCTCCCCTTTCAGGACGGACGTCCTCCTTACCTCGACTGTGTGAACTGAAATGACCACCTTTAATCTACAGCGTGAAGATTAAAAACTCACTCTGGCGTCTCGTAAACGTAGCGCTCTCTCATCGTGGAGTCTGATGACCTGAGGCTTCTTCTGAGGGTTCTCTACTCCTCCATACGTCTCCAGTAACCTCTAAGATGGAAAAAAAAACACCAAAAATAGAAACAATGAAAGTCAGTTTGTGCAGATTGCTACAGAAAACTGTCAGTCTGTGTGAGATTCACAATAAATTAATTCAWAATTAACATTCTTCACTAATCCATAACTGGAAATTTTAGATTAACGGTAAAATGTTACAACTTTCTTCATATTGTATGTCCTTAAAATGTAACTAAATCGTATAAGAATAGTAATAACACTTAAAACAACAAACCTTTCAAAAACAATACCTACATTCTTCTTTCCTATATTTGCAATAATAAAAGAAATCTATGGCGGCCTCTTCTGGACAAACACTGTATTACATGTTTTCTGTACGGCTGTGTGTGACTCGCCTGAACATTCCTCTGACTGAACACTACATCAGAGATAGATAAAATAAAATTGAAATTCATTTTAAGAACTTTTTCACAACCACTTCATGTTACAAAATAAAACCAGCAGACTTCCTCAGTCACCATGTGTGTGTCTCATTGAACCGAGCAGTTACCCTCCCCCCCACACACACACGATCACACACACCACATTCACAACATGCCGTCCTCTGTTTGAGCTGCTGGAGAAACATTATTGTCACAATAAACAGAGAGAGGTGCTTTCGAAGCTTTGCAGGCTGGTATACGAGCCAACTGGTTTAAAGAAGCTTCGCCTAAAAGCGGGAAAGAAAAAGGAAAAAAGAATGTTGCTGCATTGGCCGGGAATCGAACCCGGGCCTCCCGCGTGGCAGGCGAGAATTCTACCACTGAACCACCAATGCTG